ACACGTTTGTTTATTTGTTTATTGACACGTTTGTTTATTCGCCCTTGGGGAGTGAGCAGTGTCAGCGTTTCAGGGACCCTGCTGGGTTCAGCTCGGGGGCCTGGAGGGGGGAACAGCACTTGGAACCCCGGAGCTGCTTGGAAAAGCTCGGTGGGGTTTGGGCTGTCCCCTCCCGGGTGTCCCTCAGCCCTGTCCCTCTGTCCCTCAGCCCCGTCCCTCTGTCCCCAGTGCTGTCCCTCTGTCCCCCAGCCCTGTCCCTCTGTCCCCACTGCTGTCCCTCTGTCCCCCAGCCCTGTCCCTCTGTCCCCACTGCTGTCCCTCTGTCCCCAGTGCTGTCCCTCTGTCCCCAGTGCTGTCCCTCTGTCCCTCAGCCCCGTCCCTCTGTCCCTCAGCCCTGTCCCTCTGTCCCCAGTGCTGTCCCTCTGTCCCTCAGCCCTGTCCCTCTGTCCCTCAGCCCTGTCCCTCTGTCCCCAGTGCTGTCCCTCTGTCCCCAGTGCTGTCCCTCTGTCCCCAGCCCTGTCCCTCTGTCCCCAATGCTGTCCCTCTGTCCCTCAGCCCTGTCCCTCTGTCCCCAGCCCTGTCCCTCTGTCCCCACTGCTGTCCCTCTGTCCCTCAGCCCTGTCCCTCTGTCCCTCAGCCCTGTCCCTCTGTCCCTCAGCCCTGTCCCTCTGTCCTCACTGCCCCAGGTCAGGGTCAGTTCAGAATGGAGAGGATGGAAAAGTTCTGCCCTGGGATGAATTCCCAGAGCAGCTGTGGATCCCTGGGAGTGCCCGGGGTTGGAGAAGGGAAGAGCCAGAGGATCCCTGGAGCTGCTCCCAGAGCCTGGAAGGGGCTCCAGGAGAGCTGGAGAGGACATGGAGGGACAGGGACATGGGGATGGGATCCTGGATGGACAGGGACATGGGGATGGGATCGGGATACAGTCCCATGGAGGGACAGGGACATGGGGATGGGATCGGGATACAGCCCCACCGAGGGAGAGGGACACGGGGATGGGATCCAGGATGGACAGGGATATGGGGATGGGATCGTGGAGGGACAGGGATATGGGGCTGGGATCAGGATACAGTCCCACGGAGGGACAGGGACACAGGGACAGGATCCTGGAGAATCAGGGACTCAGGGACAGGATCCTGGAAGGACAGGGACACAGGGACAGGATCCTGGAGGACACAGGGACTCAGGGACAGGATCCTGGAGGAACGAGGACTCAGGGACAGGATCCTGGAGAATCAGGGACTCAGGGACAGGATCCTGGAGGGACAGGGACACAGGGACAGGATCCTGGAGGACACAGGGACAGGATCCTGGAGGACACAGGGACTCAGGGACAGGATCCTGGAGGAATGAGGACACGGGAACAGGATCCTGGAGGAACGAGGACTCAGGGACAGGATCCTGGAGGGACAGGGACTCAGGGACAGGATCCTGGAGAATCAGGGACTCAGGGACAGGATCCTGGAGGAACGAGGACACAGGGACAGGATCCTGGAGGAGCAGGGACTCAGGGACAGGGTCCTGGAGGAACGAGGACTCAGGGACAGGATCCTGGAGGAACGAGGACTCAGGGACAGGATCCTGGAGGAACGAGGACACAGGGACAGGATCCTGGAGGACACAGGGACTCAGGGACAGGATCCTGGAGGACACAGGGACACAGGGACAGGATCCTGGAGGACACAGGGACACAGGGACAGGATCCTGGAGGACACAGGGACACA